GACCACATATAGTTAAGACAAATTTATGCTTCATTCCAGTATTGTGCTATTCTCCTATATCCTTTCCTAAGCCCAAGATTCCTCTTTAGTATATGTAATAAAATACATACATATGAAAGATCTCCAGATAAAATCATGAAAAGAAGAGGAGAAAGAGCCCCCTGAAAAGGTGAATTTGATGAAGGCCTCAATAACTAGATTAATAATTAATCACACTTATGCTAAAATGTTTGTTTGTCTGAGAAAATCCTCATAGGAAATGCATTTAAACTTGTGGATAGCAACCCAGCCACTGTACTCCATAAAGTTCCTTTATATATTTTTCCACAATATGCACAAAAACAGAATATGAAATCAGAAACATTTTACACATTCTCATACTTCAGAGAGCGCTAACAGCATTTTACTAGTCGAAAGCACTTTATCTTCATGTCTCTATAAGGCAGAGTTGGTGCATAATAATGTAATTTATATTGCCTAAATGTTATTTTGGGAGCATTGCATCATTTCTCAAACTTCATGACCTTTACAATTTTCTAAACTTTTATTTCCCTCATTATTCTGAACAGATTTCATTACATATTTTGAATGTAAACAACCCTGAATAATGATGGGGACCATTACGTATGTACAGCTCTGACAATTGTGCATGAAGCCGAGATGGAAACCCAGTGCATTAATTTACCTCTCATCTTCGGTAACTGCACTCCCATAAAAAGTTTTATACTCAACTCACATAAATCATGTAGAAGAAAAATGAGAAAATCTGGTGGCTAACTCATCTTCTACCATTCTGCGAAAATGAAATTCACTGAAATACCTATCAAAACTGCAATCATCAAGAGATAATGTCTTCTTAGGTCTATCTGCACTTTCCGATTTAATTTCCTCCATGCCCTTGACATCCACAGATACCATTAAGATTAAGCGCATATAGTAACTGAGCAGTTTTCAGATTTTGATATATGGGGCCTAGGCACTAAATGTAATATCATCATTTGAAAATTAATGCAATATTTCTTTTGTTAGTTTTTTGACTTGGAAAGCAGGATGAATACTTCGGTTTCTCTCAAGTAATTTCCCCATCAGAATGACATGCAATTATGAATAGATATGCACCTGGTCAGAGGTCAGCCAAATTACTACATCATTTAATGAGTAGAGAGATCAAAATGGAGCACACTGTTGCTGCCGAGAGACGCCTTGCAGCCTGCTACATCAAATATGATGGAATCATTAGAGTAATAAGCATGAAAATCTGTTTGCAGATTAACCTGTGGTTTCATGCTGCTTTCATCTAATGGGGCGCTGTGGAAATCTTGTCAGCTTTTCATCAGCTACGATCAAATTACTGAAATTGCATACAAACCACTGGTGCAATTGGAAACAACATCTACAAGTGCAATTTTTTTAATGCAGATGCCAAAGAAAATAACACTCTTTATATTTTACAGTGTTATTTACTTCATCTGATCATTCATATAATCCGTCTGCAACACTGAAACATTTATGTTCCGAACTGCCTTTTAAAAATTACAACATAAAATAGTAGTCAAACAAATTTATGGAGTAAATATGAAAAGGATCACAAGTTTAAAAAAAAAAAAAAAAAGGCACAAAGGTCACACAGAGAGAAGGTCACTGTTCCTGACACAGCTCCACCAAAACAGGGCTCTGCCGTATGGAGCAGAGAGGGAGGCGCTGATGGGAAGCCACCTTTGTTATATTATTAAATGAGAATGATCAAAGTTTACGTTTTAATAAAGACACAAAGACATTAAAGGAACTGGTGCTGTTTTATGTGGAGTTGCTCTGGTTTAAGAGAATGCTGCTAATAGAAAGTGACAGGATAAAACTTTGTTCTTTTTAAAAGTTTACACAAAATTTGTCAGTGTTGGAACAGGAAACTATTTAAGCCCTTTGAATATTCTTGCATTAACATATTCTGTCCATGGGAGTGCAATACTAGAAAAAGTCCAGAGTTGTTTGATTAATATCTGGAGCTAGAAGCATAACAATTTTAGAACAAATAAAAGTGGTGTGTGTACATTAATTTAATACATATTCAGTACAATAGGTTCTCCACAAATCCTTCTGATCTAAAGAGAACCTTCAGCACAGAGGCCCATATTTCATCCCTGTAGGCAAATATAGGCAAACAGAATGTATTTTTTCATGGATATTCATAAGCCATTGATCTTCTGCTGCGTGATTACCTAGTACAAACCTGATCCAAAGCCTTCTGAAGTAATTGGAAAGATTTCCAATAGATGGTCTGCTGCTGCCTAAAAGAGGGTGAGTGTCTAAGATGCTGTCCCGGACACTCCACGTGGCAGCGGTGAGGAGACATTTTCATCGGCCGCTGAAGCCTCCCAAGGGGTCCCTCAGCAGGGGACACAGTCCCAGCCCAGGCACCTCTCCTCAAAAAGACGCTTCCAAGCTGCTGCCATCCTTGATTTTACAAAATGAGAGCACTAGGGACATAGCGGCTCTTCAGGCTACCAAAGTGGAAGTCCCTAGAGTATGTCCCCCATACGTAAACGTCACTTTGGCCACCGGTGGAAGAGACCTCCACTCCCTGCCTTCATTGCTGCAGTCTCAGCCTGGGACAAGATCTTGAAATGGAAATCTCAGGCAGTGCTCAGCACAGTGATGACTTGTCAGGAAATCTCATTTTGGAGATGTGTGCTGAGAAGAATACTTGGACAGTAATAGGTATCAACCTTCAAGTGAAACTAACATTTATTAATTAAAAGCAATGATAATCAGAAGGTTTTTTTGGTTCAGGTTACCATACTACTACCACCAAATTATAGTAAAGGGTATTGTTTATTTCTGTCTACTTTGAAAAAAAGGTAAACATAAAAGATCCTTTTAAAATAAGTTTGATCAATCATATATACTGAATACTTCAAAAATGTGAGCATCCATATGTAAAGCTTACTAAACATGCCCAATTCTCTGCTCTGTATGGTGCATTTTTAAATCAGGAGTAACAGTTTCCATGATTGTGTGATGCGCATAAACCATTTTATGAACTCTGATGACTGCATTTCTCAGTATGGTAGATGGAATGCGATGAAAACTATAATCTATATTCCATATGTTAGATAAAACTGACATTTAAGAGACTTAAATATTTTTAATGTATATAAAATTT